TATATTTATATTTATTTATATATTATTATATAATATTTAGGTGTAGTTTCCCAGATGATGCTTTTGGTGCAAGGAGCTCATGGTCCCTTATGTTCTTACCAGTGCCATGAAGAATTATGCCTAGGAAAGAACATTTTTCTTTTAAGCTGCTTTCAAACCCTTAACCTGGAATGGCTTTCAGGTTTTTTGAGCTTGAGGTTTTGCTTCCTTTAGAAACATTTTCCCTTTTTTGATTACATGATTATTTTATGAATGCACCACCATAGGTCACAGAACTACTTGAAGATGGATTACTGGGGATTGCCCCTTTGAAAGAAAAATACAGGTTTATTGCAAGAGTAAGACTTTCAGGTGCTAGATGCTGCTCCAGTGCAGAACTAAAAGATATTACACCCCAGTTTCAGTCTAAGGAAATGTGATGACAGCGAGCAGTAGGGAGATGGCAGAGCATCACAACAAATGTCGTACGTTTGGATGTTTGATTTCGGTAAATTTGAGAGCAAGTTATGGTCTTTCTGCAGATCTCTCTCTTATCTTCTTATAAAATAGGTCTGAATAACGAGTCAGTCCTGAAGGCATGAATAAATGATGCAGAAATACAGGATAGCTGTTAAATAATAAAGAAAATTATTTCCTTGAGGCATTTGGAAGAGCAGGGAGGAAGCATTAGGGAGATGCGTTAGCAGCAAAATGTCTTCTGCGCTAAGAACTGACCTAGTTCTGAGTTTCTGCAGAATATACCTGCCCAAGAGCTTTGCCTTTGTCCTGCTGCACATAACTTAATAATAATTGCGATACTTGGCTTGTGTTATAGGCAGCGTCCAGCTTGCAAACCTCAGCCAGAGGATGGCACCACTGTTCGGCTTTCCTCACCACCTTGTGAATCTAACAGCACTGATTTTCTCTCTGTCACACATTACGGGATTTTTCTCATATCTTAATCTCTTATTTTAATTTACAGGATTTAATGGAGCAGCTTGAGAAGCAAGACAAAACTGTTCGCAAGTTAAAGAAACAGTTGAAAGTATTTGCTAAGAAGATTGGTGAACTTGAAGGTACTGTTACATTTTGAGAGAAAGATTTTGGTTTACTTTTTGTGATCCCACTGTCGTCATATCCATCTGTCTTAGCGGTCGAGAGGGCATGAGGTCTTCAGTAGCATTAACCTCTGTTAATTGACTCCAGATACAGGAGGACGTCTGTGTGTTCCTTTATACACCTTTAGAAGATTTGTCATAATTTGAAGTGATAAGTAAAGGAGATTGATGTTTCTCCAAAGGCAGGAACCATAATATAACATAAAGGAATGTTACCTGGGCTGTCTGTGCACTCAAAGACAGTATCTGTTTTTGTCAAGACAAAAGCAATACTAAATATGAACCAGGCAGAAATAATTTACCCAATTTTCCTCTGTGAATTTCTGTATCACTAGAGCCAAGAACGCTGAGACTGTCTTTCTCCACTTGAGGTTTCCTTTCACAGCTGCTGACAAACTTGAATATGAGAATGCTGAGATATGGTCTAAGCTAATTTTATTTTTATGAGCATCAGAGTGAGTTCCCTTAGGGTCTTAGGGCTGGTGAGACCAAGAGCTTATTATGTCTCTGCATAACTAAAGTAATTTTAATTGCTAAAAGCAATTAGTAATGTTATAAATTTGAAGTATGAATTTTTAAAATAATACTGGCCCTAACATTTCATAACGTTTTTATGGTCATCTGCTGGTTCCAGAAACAAGCTTACTGCCTAATGAGTTGTTTTATTGAGTACTAAGATTGAAATCAGTGACTGTGTAATCTTCAGTGTTTCAGTGTTTGAAAGGAACAGTGATACCAAGTTAAACCTGGATTAACAGGAGTAAATTATCCTTTAGTTGGTGGCAGCTCTCCTTGAGCTCCAGTTTGGATTGTTACCCTGAACCAAAGAAAACATTCCCTAGTTCTATACGCTGGAGTTCTTCCTTAGAAATGTCATAGTCTCCTCTGGCATGCATTGGTTTCACTGGAAAATATTATATAATTTCTTTTCATTTCCTCTCTGAAGTGGGCCAGATGGAGAACATATCACCTGGACAAATCATTGACGAACCTATTCGTCCAGTTAACATTCCACGGAAAGAAAAGGACTTCCAAGGGATGTTAGAATATAAGAAAGAGGATGAACAAAAACTTGTCAAGAATCTTATTTTAGGTAAGCATCTTTCTAGTTTGCGGCCTCCTCTGCTCCCACACACACTGTGAAAAATGAATGCTAAGAACACAGAATTTCCTTTATGAAAAAATAGCTTATTTTGGTTTTGACAGTATTCAGTTTATCTAAAATTCCTAAAAGTCTATTGTAATCTAATCGTCCTTCCTGATGAGTACAGTACATATTAATGTGTCTGCAAATTTTTAGCAGGCAGTTATGTTTTTGTATTCTGTTCAGATATTACACCAAGAAAGTGGCTCTTCCTAGTTTTATTCTTAGTTTTCACTGGCCATGTTATATATATATGTATGTACTATTAACTGGGGAGGCTGTGATTACCTCATATGACATCTTTCAATGACTTTATGCTTAACAAAACAATGTGTGTTTGTTTTTCCCAAGAGCTGAAACCACGTGGGGTAGCTGTCAACCTGATTCCAGGACTACCAGCATATATTTTGTTCATGTGTGTACGCCATGCAGATTACCTTAATGATGACCAAAAAGTGCGGTCATTGTTGACTTCCACTATCAACGGCATCAAAAAAGTGTTGAAGGTTAGTTAGTCTGCTTGGTTTAGAAAAAAGTTAATTTAACATTTGCTTTTGATTTTATGTCAGAGGAGTGAGAAAGAGGCTTTCAATGAATTAGATATGGATTTCTGACCAGTAAACTCCTCCCACTGAAGTCACAAAAAGTTGTCTTAACAAGCAACAAATTACAGTGATAGCACGTTATCCATATAATACCATAGATGCTTTGAATTAGTGGAAAAAGAACTACCTTCTTTTTATTTTGAATACTCTTCCTCCTCTGAAGCTATGCCTATAAAGATTTGGATGCAGTTAAAGTTTGCATAGTGAGTCTTTGTTAATCATCTCCAGAACGCTTAATTAAAATGTTTCATTTGCCGTTTTGGTTTACAGATTTCCTCATTTGCTTCATCTACAGATTACATTGATGATAATAAGTTACTGCCTAAAGTCTTCGCAATGAGTTGGCTAGGAGAGTTTAGCCCAGGGGTATCCTGAAGGGATTGATAAGCCATCAGTATGCTTCATGGAGTTTTTTAGTTTTTAAATAAAACAGATGTGCTCAAAAAGCAAGTATTTAATCAAGCTGCATGTTTTGTAAAAACATTTAGTAAAAAATCCTGCACTAGCTTAGATATTCATAGAAATTTTTGGACATGTTAAGTGGATGGAGTGCATGCTATAGAGCTCTAGAAATTTTAATTACTCAGCTTATTCTAGATTCTGTGTTCTTTGGTGAGGAGGTTTTGTTTTGTTTCCCATATTAGGCTGCCAGAATGGTTATGATGTAAGTGACATTCATCAAAACTGAATTGTTCTTTGCTCCTCCTGCTGGCTCTGCATCATTCCCATCCTCCCTGTTGGGCTCTTCACAAGAGTCATTGTGCCACAGAATGGGTGTTTTGGGAATACGGTCACATTGCCCTGTGATTTCGGCACAGAACAGTTAGGATGGGTCTGTAAAGCACAGGAAGATCACATCTGTTGAGGAAATCGTATTCCGAATGTTCTTGAAAAATATTACAGAGAATATGGAGGGTGTATTTAATGGTACTTTGTCTAAAACCTTGCTTTTCTAGTACGTTACTGAAATACACAAAGTTTTGCAAAACACCAAAATCTGATTAGCTACAATTAAGTGTTCAATTGTTTATCTAACATTTCATTATTTTATTCCTCCTACCAGTCTTTGTTGACATGTGTTTGTTTTTATCTTCAGAAAAGAGGTGATGACTTTGAAACAGTGTCCTTCTGGCTATCTAACACCTGCCGATTTTTGCACTGTTTGAAGCAATATAGTGGAGAAGAGGTAAGCAGTGCTCCTACTCTGGTTTCTTTTGCTCTACAACACTATTGTGAGCACTACTTTTTAACAAATCCTGTAATATCTCAAAATCTGGTCAAAGTCTCTTGAAATGGCTACATGTTTTGGGATGATGGTGATGACATCAGTGGAAAGTGTAGGGAGAGAAGATCGGAACAAGCTTCCCTTTATTGCAGGCTGGGGGCCCAGAGGCTAGATGACCACTGTGCTCCTGAAAGAGCCAACTCAGATTAAGTAGAAGAATCTGGCTGCTACCATTACATTGTTTAGTAATGATTCACTGAACTTCTGATGAAAAAGGCTGTATTAAGCCCTTTAACCATAGTATGGCAGACCAGTTTATGTTTGGAAGCTGTGGTGTGCCAAATTTCTTCTTCAAACTTAACTGGGCTTTTGGCCATATATGACCAGGCAAGAATGGCCATGCTGCAGTGGGAGGGAAGAGTCTTACCTGCCAGAAAGTTGGCAGAGTTTGTTCCTGTGTCAAATACTTGAAGTTTCAAGTCAAGGAAGCAGAAGTTGCACAAATCACAATGGAAAAGCAAATCCTAGCATTAGCCTCAATCAGAAGAACTTCCAAATTAAAGTTTTGAGGGGCTGTGACTATTATTTTGAAAGTAGTATTTGTCAGTTGCATGAAAAAATATAAATGCTGGGTTTGTGTAGTATTTTTGTATTCCATTGAAGCATTTGTTTCTGTTATTTTATGAATTCAGGGGTTTATGAAGCATAATACACCTCGTCAAAACGAACACTGCCTCACTAATTTTGATTTAGCTGAATACAGACAAGTACTGAGTGACTTGGCTATTCAGATCTACCAACAACTAGTCCGAGTGTTGGAAAACATTCTGCAACCAATGATTGGTAAGGCAAAGTTGAATTCCTTAAACTTCCCACCGTAGTACCAAAAAGAAAATTGTCATGGTGGTAATACACTGTATCTTGTAGGTCTTGTGGTTTTCTGTTTATAGATGACAAGGACCACACTGGACAGGTTGGATTAGAGGAAAAACTAAACTGTGGGTGGTTCTTCTGGTAGTGACAGAATAAATTGATTTCCTTTATTCATGCTTGTCATAAACCATGCATTTACAGGAAGAAACTCTTAGGTCAGTCTGATATTTGTGGCCCTGTCTGCCATGAGAAATATCCCATGGGAAAATTAGACTTTAATTACATGAGAACTCGTAATTAAAATTAATATGGAGAAAAATGGTTGGTTGTTATTATGGACAGCAATTAGCAATGAAATAGCTAGCAGTGATGAAGCTCGCATTCAGAGTGATTCTTTTCATTAAAAGTACTTTTCATTTTTCTTGTCAGAAAGTACTCTCACACAAATTTTCATTATACTTTCCAATCATAACATTTAGAAGAATGGAACAGCTCTTGGTTTGCTGACTGTGCTGCTCCTATGACCATTGGAGGAAGAAAGTATTTTGCTGAGCTAGAGCTAGACCTTCCTTTCAAACACACATGCTGGAATCTTTGTAAAAACCTTGTAAGTTTGGATTTTGCAGAACATAGTGGGACACAGAATTGCTGGAAATTGTGGTAAAGTGTGGCTAGCAGAAAGCCCAGCCTGCTTTTTCTGTGTAAATACTGTTTTGCTGTCTTCCACCATATGCTTGCATATCAGCAGTTTTCAGTCATTGTAATAACATTGTGAATCAAATGCAGTTTCAGGAATGCTGGAGCATGAGACTATCCAAGGTGTCTCAGGGGTGAAACCAACAGGACTGCGGAAGAGAACGTCCAGCATTGCTGATGAAGGAACCTACACTTTGGACTCCATTATTCGGCAGCTGAACTCCTTCCATTCAGTGATGTGTCAGCACGGAATGGATCCAGAGCTGATCAAACAGGTTGTCAAGCAGATGTTCTACATCATTGGGGCTGTAACGCTTAATAATCTTCTCCTGCGCAAGGACATGTGCTCGTGGAGCAAAGGAATGCAGATAAGGTGGGAGTTATACTTTTCTTGAATGCGCTACTGGACATCTTAGTGAACTCTTCACACTGCTGAACACTGTTTTGATGGAATAGGAGATACAATTTGAATATTTATTTTTCTGCACACAAACAGTTGCAGATGCTGTTAAAACTGATTTTGTGAGGTTTAGTTAAAAATAACTTGGTTAACTTAGGCCAAATCCTGGCTGGCGTTCAAGGAAAAGTGGTAGAAGCCAAACGAAAGTATTTCATCATTAAGAATCAGAACTGTAGGTGAAATGTTGGTAGTTGCTTTCTCAGCTTTTAGAGAAGAATAGCAAACATGCCTGCTGTGTTCTTTGTATGCTGGTGGCACAGTGGGTACCTGCTGTGTAGTTTGCTGCATCCTGCCATAAAGGCATCTTACTCTATTCCTGCACTTGGCATCAGTTGTCCAATGCATTCTACTGGCATATGCCAGGAAATTTAGCCAAGGCATTCCAGTCCCTTAAGTAACTTTGAAAAGCCTCACTGTACATTTGCATGGACAAAATCTCATTTGCCTTTCTTCTCATGCTCGTCACATTCCTACAATTAATAGTAACAGAAACAAATGGGATAAGCAAGTTAGTGGAAGTCTTTGGCCATAGTTTCTAACTGTTTTGAAACTTGAAATTTCCTGCCTTAACTGGAAGGAAACAGTATGAAGACAAAATTACAAGAAATTACAAGTGTGAAGGAAAAACATGTAAGGACAAAGAAGAAACACTAGGAAAGAGAAATTGCACATGCTTTTGATTTAGCCATTACATTTAGCATTAATGTCTTGATACTCTTACCTCTTTGTACAGATACAATGTCAGTCAACTGGAAGAATGGCTACGTGATAAAAATTTGATGAATAGTGGGGCTAAAGAAACACTGGAACCCCTCATCCAGGCTGCACAGTTGTTGCAAGTGAAAAAGAAAACAGATGAAGATGCAGAAGCCATTTGTTCAATGTGCAATGCACTAACTACTGCCCAGGTGAGCAAGCTCATTGTCTGTTCTGCTGTCACTCTTGAGCAGTTCTCTGCTCTGTTGGGTTTACTATGCTTGCCTGCACTGCTGTTGCACATGGATTGAAGATTTCTTACTTCGTTTTGCATTAGTACAACTAAAGCAGATTAAGTTGAAGGGGTAAAAAAAGGACCAGACCTTTTTGAGGTCTGATGTTCAAGAAAAGTTTTGAACTAATGAGAGGAAACTCAACAGATTGTGCAGTCTGTAGTACTATACATAGCCTCTCAGTTTGTGAAAATCCTTAGAGAAAACTCTTCACTCAGAGACGTCTCTGTACTCCAGACAGCTCTGCCTACGATACTGGGAAATGAGCTTTCTACCATCAGGGTTAGTATCGCATTAAGCTAGGACAGTTGATACAGAGCTGTTGTCTCAGGGTCTGCAAACAAAAGTGTTAATTTACTGTACCCATTAGTCTCAGAAGGCTGAACCAAGTGTATCTCAGTGAACAGCTGAAGACTTCTATTTATGAAGGCTTAGATTTTGTACAGATAAGTTGAACTTTGTTTTTTAAACGTGCTACATTTGCATAGAGCTTGTACAGGTATAAATGGATCCAAGCATCTTTGATTACTGAACAGTCCCATCAGGAAAAGCAAGAAATTTCTCCATTTCTTTCACAATGGTGTTGGCACTAGCGGTTGCATTGATATAGCCGTTTTGATTTAGAAATTCACATTGCTGGAAAATCTGTTAACTTCTTATTTCAGTACAAAGCTAAAATTCCACACGCTTTCAGTATTTTAACTTTGTTAAAAAGTGCTCTGTTTTTTTTAAGAGAATGATGTAAAAAACCAGAGAGAACATTTTATAAGTTTTACAGGTTTAACCCATATTATTATTTAAAGTTTCTGTGATGCGTTTCTTTCCTTTGGTGGTTTTAGCCCTATTTTTAGAGAAATATCTCAGTCTCTTGAAAAACAGTGAAGTAATCAGACTCTTCTGAATAGAAGTTACAGGTCATAATTACAGGGTCAAAATTAGAGTAAGAAATACAGCATGTTTCCAGGGGGTGTAGGAACATAATCTGATTTTTCCATAGTTTTGTATTTTCCACACACATGTAGAAATTTTGAGTTTCTACCTCCAAAGAACACATGTTCTGAAGGAGTCAGCCGTATAACATAGCATTAAGCAGGTGATGGAATTCTGTATGAATCAATAAAGCAAAAAATAACAAATACTTGTAAATAATTTTCTTTTTAAAATAGCTAATTTAAAAAGTAATTTATTAGTAACCATGGATGCATCTGTTGATTCATTAGTAAAATGAACCTAAGCATGGTTGTTCCTCTTCACAGATTGTAAAAGTCCTGAATTTGTATACTCCAGTTAATGAGTTTGAAGAGAGAGTCTTGGTATCATTTATACGTACAATACAGGTATGGCTATATCTTTGCATCAAAAATCATTTGACTATTTCTAAGAAACCCTCTGATAAGCCAAAATAGCTTGTGTCCTGAAATACATGCAGCAATCTGAAGTAAACTAGGCTTTTTAGCTAGCGTTTTTAGCTATGTTGAAAAGGTGATGTCAGCCTTAAAATTTTAAGCAACCACAATTTACTGCCTCCAGACTTGCATGAAAATGTGCGTTTCCATGTCAGTATGTATGAGATTTTTGGAAGGCGAGAGGTTTTTGTGTTTATACATCTTTGTGTATATAAACACACTTGTATGCCAACTTTTCAAGTGGTCACATTTATATATGCAAATTTACTTTTGTCAAACCTGTGTCTGCATGAGAAGTTCCAACTGCTTTGAAAACCAAGGCCTATGTTTATTCCAAAGTTCTTCATTTCACCCTTCTAGTTTTATATATAGATGAAAATTAAACACTTTGAAAACTCCAAAGAAAAAGAGCGAGTAGAACAAAATAAAAGAAACAAAGATGATCTTTCTGGTCTGTTAGAAATCGAATTACATTATTAGCAGGATAAGGGAGATTGGGAAGGTAGAACAGAGTTAAAGCTATAGTTCCACATACTGAAAAGATACAGTTACTAGATAGTGGGCAAATTCTTCCTTTTGCAGGGAATCTAAATATCTTCAGATTGCATTGTAAGGGGAAGATACGCAGAACCGAAAATGACAAAAATATCTACACTTTAATGGCACAATTTTTGCAAATGTGTTGGGTCAAATTAGCACAGAGCGTGTGTCTGTACACACACGTGTATCTGCAAGCACAGATTAAATACTACCTCTTTGCAAGATGATTATTATCAATGAAGTAGCTAAATGCTAACGCAATCACTTTCTTATCTTTGCAGATGCGTCTGCGAGACAGGAAGGACTCTCCTCAGTTGCTCATGGATGCTAAACACATCTTCCCTGTTACTTTTCCATTTAACCCATCCTCTCTGGCATTAGAAACCATTCAGATCCCAGCCAGCTTGGGCCTGGGCTTCATATCACGTGTCTGATCCCAAGGATGTACTGTCAGTGTTAGATGGAGAACCAGTTGCCTGATATCTTGTATCTGTTAAGACATAGTGAGCCACTGAAAACACATTTTATGAACCAACAGTCAATATATGCCCAGATCTGTAGTAAAAGTAGCTGGAAAACTACGTAACAGCACCACAGACTGAAGGCTAATAGAAAGATGTGCATTTGTGTTCACTCATTGCATTTACGAGGACATCACTGATTCATACATTTCCAGAACATGGAAATCTGGTCTGGACAAAAATTGTGTCTTCAGCTGTCTAGAGACATTTTTAGATCTTTAGTAACATATTTAAATAGTGTAAATTAAACTCCATATGTAATCTTCTTATAGGCAGGGACCACCAGGGACAGTCACAGTCCTGAACATGGAAGACTTGAAAGTAAGGCATTTTGTAGTAGAATACACAGTCACTTGGGAGCCTGTTACATTTAATTTGTAAAAACTGGAGTGGAGAAACACAAACTGGCAATATGTAAAATTATTTCTTAAACCACTTCCTTATTTATGTCAGTTTGACATAAATTCTAGTGATAAGTCTTTTAGCTCACTATATGCTATAACTTAGGTGTTCATTTGTTAGTACTGTAGTTTACCAAGCATACTAAATTGCTGCTGCATATTTTCTTTTAAATGTATGACAGTATCATACTAAGCACTAAAAATAAGATATTTCATTTTTTGTTGTCAACCTTATTTACAGTCCAGTGCAGTCTGTTACTTTAAGTGGATTTTTGCAAATGGTATCAAATAACACCTGTAGAGTAAAATGGTAACTAAGCACAAGTAGCACACTGGAAATTACATGTTTAGTTATTTTTGGAAGTAGTTAGCTAAAAACACAGAATCCTGAAGCAAATTATGAGAAGACAATAATTATTTTAGTATTTATTTAATTTTGTAGTCTGTCTAATGTTCTTCTTCGTTTGTAGACCCCAGATATGACTGTGTATTCTGAGTATAATCTCTTGTTTTGTTGCCGCTTAAAAAAAAAAAGAAAAAAGTATTCTACTGGAATTTGAGAGGAAGAACTTTAATAGAAAATTTCTGCAGTAGCCCAAGGCTCTTACTCTGTGAAAAGTTGACTAACAAGAATGTTAAGTAGGTTTTGACTATGATGCTGTCATTTGACTATGATTCATGCTGATTTAATGGTCGGAGATCTAGAGTGCATAATGAGAAAATGAGTTATTTTGGATATTGCACATCTTACTGGAAAGACTTTTCTGTCTTACATATCTTGGATCTTCTGTATAGAATTCACATTTCACAATGTGCAACCGAAGTGCAGAAGCCTTGCTTAAGGTTCCAGTTCTAACTTTAAAACTGGTAGTTTGTGGTGTATGGCTCAAATACACATGTAAAAAAAAGCCACACAGGTTGCTCAATTGTATTGTGCAATATTTTTAATGTATTATAATAATTAGCAACTTTAGCATTAACATTAATTTCTTTTAAAATATTGAGAAATAATCTAGAGGTACACTATTAGACTATTTGGTACTAATCTGTTTGCCTGCAAACTCACAGAAAAAAAAATGCTATTAAGCAGACCAAAACATTTCAGTTATGTTTTACTTGAGAGGTAGACATGCTGTTTGTATGGTTGCTAAAATCGGTAGTAAAGACAACGTAAACTTTGTCAGTATCATTTTAAGATGCTTATGTCATCTTATTTTCAAATGTGTATGCCCTGTATTATGTTTGACGGATCATGTTAGTACTTCCAAGAACCTAATACTGCATTGCGTACATGTTTTGAATTATCTTTGCTAGATGATTTAGATTGTTTTCCTGTGCATGGTATACCAAACACTTTTTTTTTCAACCGTTACTTGATTTCTGAAACTACAGCTGCTGTTAAGCGGCTCCAAATAAGGTATAAGGTAGTTTTCAGACTGTTAGGGGTACTGTACTTGTGAGAATGTAATGGGAAAGCCTTCACATCCAGTAACGAGGTTAGGAAAGAAAACAACATGAGAACATGCTGACCTACAAACTTTTTCTCCCATTGAAAAACACACAATTGGCATTACAGTATGTTCATACTGTAGATCAGGAAATGTATCTACTACTTAAGCATTAGTGTATTAAAATGTATGCCTAAATGTATTTTTGTTTATTTTTTAAGTTTGTTTACCTGTAAAAAGCCTTATTGTATCTTGTTTCCTTAAAAAAAGTAGTGGTTAGTAATTTATAGGTATTATCCTTAAACTCAGTGGTTTGACTGGTATTACTTTTATATCACATTAAAAGTATATGCTGCTTGACATGTTTTAAAGGAAAATATTTTTAAGTTGGAATAGATGTGTAATTGGTAATTCATCCAATGTTTTACATGGCAGTATTTTACATGCACTTTTCAGAAGTAAAATTTTAGTGTCAATGTATAATATATCTTTCACCTTAGGACTAATATCTCTTTAACCATGGAATATAATGCAGAATTATTTTAGCAACTTTTTTTTCTTCCTTTGAATCATTGTTATGCCCTTTTAATGTGGACATATCTTTTATATTTTAATTTATTATCTATTGCTATGATAGATTTTATCGGATGCTGGAAAAATACTTGTCAGTGACCCCTTAGAATTAGATACAGTTATTCTAGAGATTTTGCACAATAATTACCTCATTCAGTTTGGTGTATTTTTATTCCAGTGATGATTTTATTCTGATGTTTAGGACACAGTCTTCTATCCAAATTTTGAAAAATTGGTTCTCAGACTTCAATCTGGGATGGAATGTGAAAGTGCTTGAGTCCATTAAATGCAATTAATGTATTCTGTCTATCACAGGAAAAAATAGGATCAACTTCAATGCTGAAAAGTGGATTGATATCCAGTAACATTTGTTCCCAACTTGGAAACACCAGCATTTGCAATTTGAAGGTCTGTGTAATTTGTGATTTAAACGGAACACATTTCAAATACCATACAAAAACTATGAGTAAACACTTGTTTTTTTAAGATGCTGATACTTCATGTGATAAATAAAAGCCTTTAAACATAGGTTTTCACTTGATGCCACTACAGTACATAGATGAAAACCAAAACATTGTCAGAATGACCTGAGCTCTGATCTGTTGTAGTGTCTGATGTTGTACTTAGTAAATGTATGCATCATAAAAACTGTAGCCTAATAGCTATCACTGGAAAATGTCCAAATAAAAATACAACTGTAAGATTTGTTCTGGACTTTTTTTGTTTGCTTGTTTGGTTGGTTGTTCATAAGCTGTGTGCTGGCATAGGCCCCAGATGATCTCCCTCTACCTTCAAGGCAGACTTGGCACTGTCAGGGCCAGCTCCTGACAGTGTGCCATAGGCTGCTGTGCGTAGTTGAAAGTATTTTGTTCGACATAACCCAGTTCTGTTACGGCTTTTGTCACCAAATATTAACTGTTACGGAAATAAGAATTAAGATTTGCATTGTCTTCTGTGCCCTGAAAGCTCCTCGGTGCCAGGCAGGCAGGTAGGGCTAGTGGGCCTCTGGGCACGTATCCACCTGCCAACACCTGGTGTACAATGTTTATTCAACTCTTCTTTCTCATAAAAGCTATTTAAATATAATACCTATTAGTGCCCTAAGCTCACTAAACAAATTCTGAGTTGTTTATTTTTGTCTTATTCTAAGTTTGTTAGAGAAACTCCTTCATGGTGTCTTGCAGGAAGGTGAATGATGTTTCTGCTGTTTTTCCCTACTCGGTCAGCAATGGCTCCCTCATGATGCCTCTGGCAGCGAGAGTGGCCATTACTCCTGATCCCTCAAGGTGTACCCACGATGTCAGCTTTGCCAATACAGCGACGGGGACAGCTCCTCATCGCCACTGTACTTACGTACCGGTCAGAATTGGGAGCTAGCGTGTAAGCTGCCTGCGTTTTATAACGCCCCACGCGTGTAGGAATGCTTCAACCAGGTGCCGCGGGTCTCTGAGGCGAGCGACCGCCTCAGCTATGCCGAGGGCGGAGAACCGCCTTCCTCCTCGGCGGGAAAGGGCCGTGCCCGGGTGGGACAGGCCCAGGATCCGGGCCGCTTCCCCACGCCTCAGGGGCGGACCGCGGCCGCCTGCGCCCTGC